TGCACGAATTTTTTGGAGATTCACAATGAATCCGAGCGATATATGATCGGATTCGTAAGTCCAACCAATCAGCGTTCAATCGGAATCGGTGAAATGACGACATTCCGCGGTGATTTTGCCATCAAACATTGGCAAGACGGCATCGTCATCTGTGATGAGGCTCCACTGGAAAGGAGCCGAGCCGTCTTCGCAAGTGCTTTTGAACAAGAATCTGAAAACAAAGCTTTACAAGCGAAAGTATGTGATCCAAAATACGTTCCACGCTCGTCATGTGGGCGGAGTCAGGCATGAGGGCAGAGAAGCCTCTCAGTGAGGAAAGTGCAGTGGTGGACCTGACACCGCTCACACTAACAGCGTGGACCTTCATACTATCGTAGGCTTCCAGCCACTGAGGCAGTCTATTAATTCTGGAATTACTGCAGCATGCAACTGCATGGCGTAATCCGAAGTGATTTCTGAAAAATGCACAGCACCTTCTGTCCTCCGCCCGAGAAATGCCAAACGTTCGTCGAAATCGTGCCAGTGTGATCAATTCGGAAGGGATTTTCGCCACCATTGGTGGCTGACCGTTCTCTCGTAGCACCAGTGTCAACGATGGCGCTATCGTTCGAAATCTGCAACTATGACAATAAAATTCCCGATTTCACGTTGTGGCGCTACGCTTCCGCGCGCGTCACAGCCCCACTCCCCTTTTTCAAATAATATGGAGCCACAGTAGACATTACTTCAAGGAAACAACTTACTGCAACGAAGCGAATACATTTTGTGGAGGGATCGACGGGTGCTGCCTCCTGGAGAGGCTGGTTGATCCCAAATGATGTGGATGGAAGTCAAAATCTGAATATATACAGCCGTTACCACTGAAGTCAGTCGGGGGTGTCAGCGGCGTGCAGGTTTTGGCGTGGCGGCAGACCTTCCCCCCCCCCCCCATTGAATGCCGAAGCTAGATGATCGATGGAAAACGGACTGGCGCCGCGTCAAAACTCACACGCCGCACGCACGCCCGACATACTCTGGTGGTAATAAATATATATTTTTTTCGTTCTTATTCACTGTTCATGGCGTATCTTTAGGGCAAACAGAGTAAATATGGGAGATGCACCAGCTGTGGGCAGGGCGTTCGCCGGGTTGGGCGGGCCATACTGAGAAGTTCGTAAAATTGCTCCCGTGTGGAAAAAGTGGTACTAGGTCGGCAAGGGATTACAGCGGTTGGGAAGAGATAGAAGCACACCTGGAAAGGGCAGGACGTGCGGTGATGTAGGCGGAGCCAGACTCAAAATCCGCAAAACGGCTCCAGAGCATTCCAGCCACAGCAACCGGATAAAAGTGGATTAAGGTCAGCGCGAGAGTCGAGCAAGTTTAGTCGCTGCGTGCCCCTCCCGAAACCACATTAACCCCCACATTCTTAAGCTATTAGGTTGTTCGGAAAGTTCTCAGCGTTTTGGGTGTTTCACTTTAAACGATCGTAACTTTTTAATACTCATCGATTTAAATCGAAATAGGCACCATTCGAATCAGCACACTTTTGCCAATGTGACAGCAGTCGAGAAATCCCATCAAAGTAAAAACTGGGTGGTCGAAAATTCACGAAATCCACTAAGGCTTTTTTGCCTGGTCCTGATTGATGAAGTATTTTCCAGCAAGGGAGTTCTGAAAATGTTAGAAAAGGTGATAGTCGGTTGGCGAAAGGTCTGAAGAATATGGCGGTTGAGGTAGAACTTTCAACCCCCCAATTCGTTCAATCAGGATAGGTGATTCGTGAAAACTGGTGTTGGGTCGGTGCGTTGTAGATTGCAAAAAGAATCGACCTTTCTTGTTGATTAAAGTTTGGCTGCAGCTGACAATATTTTCGGTACATTTGGTCGGTTTGTTCACAGTAGGGTTCTGCTGTGATGGTTTGGCCTGGTGATGAAAAGTTATAGTGGATTACAACAGCCGATGACCACCAAACCTGACCAGAATTTTTTTTCGTGAGGGTTCGGCTTTGAAATTACCTCGGTGGTTCGTCGAAATCCAACCACTGTCCGGAACGTCTCCTGTTATCATACATGACCCATTTTTCATCACAGGTGACAATTCGGCCCAAAAACAGGTCGTTTCTGCTGCGCAAAAGCAATGCAGAAGGAACCTCGAGACGTGCCGATTCCTGCCGGTCACTCCGATTGTGGGGCACCCAATTGTCGAGTTTTTTCACCTTCCCAATGCGTTCCAGACCATCTGCAACAGTGGATTTGCCAAGGCCTAGCTCTTCTGCTATCTCTCGAACTGTTTGGGATGGGTCAGCCTCCAAAATCCCCCTAAAATCCTCGTCAGATATTGCTTTAGGTCGACCTATGAGGTTCATCTTCAAGGCTGAAATCTCCAGAACGAAATTTGTTGAGCCATTGCCGCACAGTGCTTTCTCTAGCACTATTGGGCCCCCACACCTGGTTAATTTGTTGAGCTGTTTCGATTGCGGATTGCCCAATTTATAGTCGAAGAAAAAAATCGTCCGAAGTGCTCTTTTCACATGCTTGAAAAAATCTTTGAAAAAAGGGGGTTTATCAAGCAATGGTGAAACGGCAATTATACCATCAGATAGCGCAAGAAATTCTCTACAGGATGTGCTACTGAGAAGCAAGGCAGAATGAGTTTTTAATCAGCAGTGAATGTACAAAAAATAGGTGCACAAAACGCTGAGAACTTTCCGGACAACCTAATACTTTGATCCTTGTAAAAACTAATTTTTAACAATGGACTTACTCATTTTCCTTCTTCCAAAACTTTTATCCGAAAGATATGCGCTTTCTGAACTGCAGAATCCACTCGAGTCAGAGAATCGATAGTCCATGGACCTGAATCGTAAGAAGTAGGGCACAAAATTATGAGAAGTGACTGGTACTGCGTACTTGCTAGTTGTCGGGAAGGGAGGTGGCGTTGGAACATCCGGGAATTGAAGATGCAGACCCTGGGATGGTGGTGGGGCAAAACCGTTCTCATAGTGATTCTCTCTGTTCTGCCGGAAGTTAAACACCAGTGGTGAGGTTGACTCTGAAAAAGCACCATAAAAAACCTTTACCTGGCTCTCAGTTCGAAAACTACCATACCTGATCGGCGTCGAGTACCGTCTATTCGCCCCACATACTTCTCCACTTCCTCATCACTCGTCGTCTCTTCAAGTATACGACTGTCGTGCAGGGATGGCAGAAGGGAGCAAGCTGCCAGATCTCTCGGTAAATCTCTGAAACTCTTTTTTTCAGGTGGGGCGTTAACCTATGGGGACGGTAATTTCCTACCGAGCATAGGTGTTTTCGTCGCATCTCTCCAGTTCTTTACTGATTATATCCAGCCTTTCTGATAGCACATTTGCAAAGGCTTCACGTGCTTCTGGTAGATCATGCCGAATGGATCCGTCTGTGTGCTGGAAAAAAAGAGTGAGTTAGGACTGAGAAGTTCCCCTGAAGCTAACGCCCTTAAAAACGACCTTAAAAACGTTCCGCTCACGATCCACAGCTATCGCTCGAGATGAGTCCTCAGTGTCACGACTGGACGATGCATCACACGAATAGGCACGGGTTTTCGAGCTGAAATTTTTTAATATCCTTTTGAAAATTAGTTATCTTTCTGAAAGGAGAACAAAGAGTAACGGTACTCAATATCTTCTAGAAAAATGAATTGCTCTCGCACAGACTCGAAGAGATGCCTGACTCAGACGCGCGCGTTCGTGACGCGACAGCCTTGGTGGGTCAAATCGATAGTTTTGGCTTTTGAAGCGGCGGATTGGCGCAGTACGACCTGTTGGGGCACCAGTTGGTAAGGAAGTGAAGGTGAAAGATCGCTGAAACTTCTGGTGATCACAGGAGTTCACAGGTCTGATCGAAGTAACACCTGTTAGTTAACATTCATTGAGAAGCAGTCATAGTGCAAAATGCCCCTCCGAGCCGAACGACGCGCCGCTTTAGCTTTTTTACTCCTTCGATATTGTTTCGCACCATGGAAATTGTACAATTTTTTTGGAAAGGCGATTTTCAGAGTCACTGACAAATTGCTGTCTATGTCTCTCTGACCGAGAAGCCTACCATTTATGGAACTACTTTCACGCACTCCCCAGGGCACGTTTTACGTTGGGGAGCTTCTTCTACGGGGTCATATTTATTTGGCGGCCGAAAGGGGGCCTATTGCGTCATGGAATGTGATTGCCAATTTTCCCCGTTTCACGCATATACAGTCGATATCGTCGTCATCGTTCTGGGTTGTGTCATGAGGTATGGAATAAGCCCGTCTCCGGCGATTTCACCAATGGTTGTTTCTTCCCAGGGCGGTCAATAATCGATTACCATTGGTAGGAAAGGAAGGCGGAGGCAGGCTTATTCCGCCCCCCCCCCTTCTCTCTTGACGCCGCCCTGATTGATTGTGACTGTATCAATTATACCCAGAGTGGTTGCAAAAATACTGCTTCTGATTGATCGAAGGTGTCTATCCTTCCCTCAATGGTCAAGTTTGATAAGATGATCGCACGGTGTTGTGGAAGAAAATCGCACCGGAACAGGGAATTTGGGAGGGGACAACTAGCTGAAATTTCCCCCAAGGCTACCACGTCTCCTGACACTCCTTCGCTTGGGTTTCAGATCCCCTATAAGATTTTTTGACAACAAGAAAAACGTTGCCTAAATGGCGAAAGCAACTAGACCAATAGAAGCCACTCACCCCCTGATCCTCCTGCCAGGCTCGCGAATCAAGGTCGATGTTGGAGCAAGATATGGATATGGCATGAGTTGAGCGTCATCCATCGGTGTCGCTGCTGACGATCCTTCGCTACCATTCCGTGCCAAGAACTAAATGAAGTTGCTCACGTGGGAGAGCAAACAGTGAATGGGGAGGGGAGGGGGTCATGCTGAAAAAAAGACCGAGTAGGACTCACCGCCATGAAGCTATGCGAGGCGATGAATTGTGAATGCAGCGCATCGAGTTGCTTTCGAAGGGCCGGTTGAACCGGATCGAAGAGCTCAGGATACGGTGGGTGCTGACTGTTCAACGAGTGAACTCGTACTGACATCTCTTTTCGTACGGATGATGGCAAAAACGAGCATGTACCGGTGCGTTGGCTGAAAAAAATAGGGCTTACAAGTGAGGAGGCAGGTGGGTGGGGTTCTGAGGCCAAAAACAGATTTTTTTTATTAATTCAGTGGGATTTCGCGAATCGCCCTCTCGAAATTCCTACTGGATCGGCCACTATTCTCGTCCCCACAAGTTTTGAGATACTCATTGAATATTTTTAACAGCAGAAAGGTCACCTTATGAACTTTCGATGCAATGTGCATGCCATGCT